GGGAAATGTAATCCACATACAAAATACAATGAAAAGCATGCTGGTCCTATATCAGTATGGCTCAAGTAGAAGAATTACTATTATTTTTGTTTTATGGTTTTTTTTATTTATTTATTTACTTATTTATTTATTTATTTATTTTTGACACAGGGTCTTGTTATGTAGTTCTGGCTGGCTCTGAACTCACTATGGACCCCAGGCTGGCCTTGAACTCATGGCAATACTCCATACCCTCCCAAGTGCTGGCATCACAGGTGCGCACCACCACGCCAGTGCCAAGCCTAAGAATTACATCAGCAGGATCAAGGCCTTCTACAGATGGACACTGAGATATTTAAAAATATATAATGGAAAATCACACTAACATTTCCATGACACTTTTTTTTGTTTTTGTTTTTGTTTTTGTTTTTCTCCGGTACCGGGAACTGAACTCACGACCTTCCATGACACTTTATAATTTACAAAATGTGTTGACATAGTATAGCTCATTTATTCCTCCCTTTCTTCCTTCTGCCTATCAAGTAATACCTTCTGTAAGCCAGGCACAAGGACTGACAATGAAGATACAAAAAAATGAACAAGATATACAAGTCTCTTCCCATGCACCTGCGCGTGTGCATGGCATGTGCTTGTGTGTCTGGGGATCAAACCCAAGGCCCTGCGTATGTCAGGCAAACACTCTACACTGAGAAATAGCCCCAGACTCAAAGTTTCCAGTTTTAAATACTTTGCAGTTTAATGGAGAGAATGGAAAAGTGAATGGCTCCAATGTAATGTGCAAAGGAGTGTGATGACTATACCGAGGGCGCTATGAACAGGGCACAGAATGACCAAGGTTAAAGTAAGAGAAAATCTAAGAAGTGAACCAGAGCTAGTCTTAAAGGACGAATGAGAACGGGCCAGGTGAAAGAGCTGGAAGAGTAGGGTAAACAGGAAAGAAGCTGCTCTCATCTGGAGGAACAGAATCATCTGACAGTGGCACAGCCATGTTAGAGAGGTGTGATGAGGCGGCAGTGCTGGGATAGACAGGTTAATCTCATGGTAGCCCTGTGCTGTGCATTCCCATTCTCTATTTCATACGGGAGAAAACTGAACCGAATGAGTTTAAGTTACTTTTTTTTTGTTGTTTTTTTTTTTTCCGGTACCAGGAATTGAACTCACAATCTTGTGTTTGCCCGGCAGGCACTGTGCTGCTGAGCTAAATCCCCAGCCCCTAAGTTACTTTTTAGACTCCTGATTTCAAATCCTAAGTCTTTGGTAGCTTTTAGAATTATTTTTACATTAAACATATTAGTGGGTATATAATAATGAATACTATGTAATGTTTCAATATGTCAACGTTATGTACTATTTAATAGGGCTAGATATATCTCATTTAGCATTTAGTAATGGTGAAATTTTCAAATTTTTTTCTAGTTTTTTGAAATGTACAGCATATTACTGCTATCTATGGTCACCCTACTGTTTAGTAGCACACCCCAACTTCTTACTTCTCTCTACCTGCGATTTAGTGCTCACTGATCAACCTTCCCATATTTGAGTAAACAGTGTCCCAAAACAACAATTTACAATACTCCATACATACAAATGAGCTCAACAGGGACCAAGATACTTTAAATAACTAAAGCTATTTTATCTGATCTTATTGATTAGGTGGCCTCTACAAAGGAAAACCTTTAACTGTTTGCTGATGATTATAGCTGTTTAAATCAAATCAGATTAAATTAATGAAGTAAGTTTCTTCAGGATAAATCACAAAATTTACTTGTTTATTTACCTACTTACTTGGTGGGATTTTGCCATGTAATCCTGGCTGGCCTGGAACTTACTATGTAGCCCAGGCTAGTCTTGAGCTCATGATCCTCCTGCCTCAGCTTCCCTAGCCCTAGAATTACAGGTATGTGCCACTTACCTGTCTTATATCACTCTTTAACTATAAAAATAAAAAAAAAAAAAGTGTCGACACTACAGAAACTGTAATTCAATACGACAATCAAATGGCCAGGAAAAGTCACTGGCCAAATTAAGAAGTATGTCACGACAGCCTTACTTGAACTGGGAAGACCAGGTCTGTGGCAGACCGTCAACCTGCACTCTCCAGAGAGTGCCTCTATCTTTCCCTAACCTCTTCTTCAACCCTACTCACTGAGATACACAGAGCTGGCTATGTTAATACAGATGTCCCCTTAATTGGCTAAAAGAATGTGATTAACTGGCTGAGACACTGTGTCTCACTGCAGCACGCAAGAACTGCCCTCTCTGGGCGGAATGGGGCTCGAGCAGAAGCATGTGAGATTCCAGGGCTAAGACATGAGATAACACCTCAGCTGATGCCTTCACACTCAAAAAGAATTATACCTTCCTGGCAGACGCCAGCCTTGCATGTATCAAGCTTTCCAGTTGCACTGCTAATTGGAGGCCTTTGTGCCTTATACAAAATTGCTGTTTCTCATTACACCCGATGCCTGCAAAGTTTCTTTTTCCTAGCACTCTGCCAGGGCCCCCACCCACCTCTCTGACTGATACCAATAAGTCATGAGCTTTTGGATTTGTGGCCTTTTGTTCCACAGAGAACAATGGGTCACCCCAAAGCTCCTCAACTGGAAAACTTTCTCTCTCTGTATTTATTTTGCATCCGTGTGCTGTATTGCCAGCTGGGGGTAGACTGATACCCTCAGCAGGAGTTTCGGTGCAGGTCTATGTCTCAACAGATGAAGAAACGGAGAAGACTGACTTAAATACTTAGTGGGTATCCTCTGGGCAGTGCGATTCTATGCTGCCTGCAGGGTACCATGTACACTGGCTCATCCTCAGCAAGTCTGAGTGCCAAGACTCAGTGCTCAGGCTTATATCTTGGCTCCACAACTCAACCAGGTAATAACTTCTCTGCATCAGTTTCCTCATCTACAAGGCATGGAGAAGAAGAATATATCCTAGGCTTACTGTACAGACTAAATACGTTAATGACTATAAAATACTAAGAAGAGTGCCTGGCACACAGTATATACTATGTGCCAGTAGTTGGTATAGTTACAAATGAAACAAATTTCACAAATGAAATGGTTAAAAGACAAGAAAAGTGCCCAATGAACATGAACTGATTTGAAGGATAACAGGGATCTTTTTAGGATTTAAGTAAGGAAGTGGCGCGTGCACACACACACACACACACACACACACACACCTTACAAAGATTTCTGCCTGGGCAGACTGAAAAGCATCTAAGAAGGTACAGCTAATCAATAAAGAGATTTCTCAAGCATTATGAAAAGGAATAATAGTAAGATATTCAAGCATTATGAAATCTCAAGCATCATGAAAAGGAATAATAGTATGATACTCATGCACTACAGAGCAATTGCCAATATTTTTGCAAAAGAAGGCTTGCTTCAACATCTATACAGTAAACAAAATTTTAAATATGTCACAATCAAGATGTAAACAGTCAAGCAATTGCCCAGCCAACTGGGCAATTTCTTGTTGATTTACTAATAAATGATTTCTTTGGTTATATATTCCTGAAATTCTCCACGATACAGGCACAAAGGGGATGCGCAAGAGGCAGGGACAATGGACCAGAGGTGAAAAGAACAGGCTGTGCAGACTCTGTAAACCAAGGAAGGCGACTACAGAGCCATGCACCTTAGCACAGTCCTGAGCAACTGAAGATGAGATGACTCCCCCCGGAAGCAGGCGCTGCTCTAGGAGACGACAAGAAACACTGACCTTCTCAAAGCACCTTCTATAGAGACCAAACCCTGAACACAGAACTTGGCAACATGGATTACTAAAAACTTAAGTTTTATTAAAAAAAAACGAACAGTAATACACAAGCTGGAAGGAAAGAACATGAGCTTTGGACCAGGAGATCTGAGTTCAAGTAGTGACTCTAGCACCTTCTACCAGACATTCTCAGACACTTCAGTGAATTACTTATTAACACAGACTGGATTGTCTGAACTTTGGCCTTTACACTAGTAAACTATATTAAATCTTATAGTGTGTATAGTGTGGTCTAGGATACCAAGTCAAGATGTGAAAGTGTTTTGTAAACAACCTCTTTATGAATGTTAATTCACAAGGATAAGGCCAGCAGAGGATTTTGAAATTCGCTTACTTGACTATTACTTCTGGGAGCCAGAAGAATTTTATTTATTTATTTATTTTTTTGAGATAGGGTCTCTTCATGTAGTTCTAACTGACTCTGAGCTTCTCTATGTAGCCCAGGCCAGCCTCAAGCTTGCTGTGATCCTCCCAAGTGCTGGGATAACAAGAGTGTGCCACCATGTGCAGCTTTCAAAAGCTTTCTCTTTTTTTGGTACCGGGAATCAAACTCAGGACCTTGTGCTTGCCAGGCAGGTGCTTGTGCCAGTAAGCTATATCCCTGGCCCCCTCAAGAGCTTTATAACTTGAAAATTTTAGCACACTACCTGGGTTTTATATTGCTAGGTTGTAAGAAGATTGACACACACCCCTTTGTGGTAATGGATCAAGTGGCAGTCACATTACAGTAGAGAGTGGGGAGATCACAAAGATTCTCAATGTTTTTGACTATTTTTTTTATCTCTTTTTTTTGTCTTTCTGAGGCAGGGTTTTGCTGTGCAGTTCAGGTTAGCTTGAACTCACTTTGTAGTCCAGGCTGGCTTTAAACTTGCAAAGATTCTCTTGCCTCAGCCTCCCAAGTGCTGGGATTACAGGTGTGCCAGACCACCATGTCCGGCACGATGTTGACTATTTCAAGTTTCGGGGAAGTTCCGTAATTTACCAGTTGCCCAAGGTTGAACTGAGCATACTAATAGATACATTCCCTTCCCTCCAAGAGGAACACATGTTATGGAGGAAATGGTCACAATCAGTTAGTTTAAATAACTACCAGGACAGTCTATTCTAAATGGCAAATAGCCTTTTATAAGAGCTATGAACAATAGCAATAAGCCCAAACTAAAAGATTCTCAGTTATTTGTAGTAAAAATTAATCACTGCCCAAGTTAGTAGCAAAACAAATTCTAATTCACCAATTATCATACGAATAACAGGGAGCTCTGAAAAATTATAAAGACAAGAATACTCACCAATTTATGAAGTAAGTCATCTTTCTTACTGCACTGAGAAAAAGAAAGCCAGCTTTTGATGGTTTCAGCCACTTTTAACAAGATGCTCTGCTGAAGAGAGATGAATGACATTGTATAGTGTTATTAATTAAACATACCCAAGAAGCAGAGAAACTTCAAATAACTCACTTCTAATTAGTCAGAATTTTCATCAGAAAAAGGGAGAAAAGAATTACCCAGGCTATACATTTTGCCAGCACGTGTCAGCCTCCTCACTAGTTCCCAAGCTTAGTTACACAGCAGAACCCAGAATCACTCAGGGACTTTAGATAGAAACGCATTTCTGGGTCCCCAAACTACAGAGTCTGATTCAGTAGGTTTGGAATGAGGCCTGGAAACCGGGCTTTAAAAAGCAGGGAGAAGACACCTGCTGCAGCCTGTTTATCTTGGGAACATCATTTGCTATCTGTGTTAACACAGTGATGGCATTTGTTTCAGAACGGTATTTTGGGAATAGAGAAAGACTACGTTGCTTGTTTGTGGAGGGGAGTGGCTGAGAAAAGAAGTCCTGTTGTGACCCTGCGGAATCGGAGCTTCCGGGCACATGCAGTGAAAACGGCTAACAGGCACCGAACTCAGCAAGGGCTGCAGTAAGCAGCCGAGGAAGTAGACGAGATCGATCAGAGCCGAAAGACCATGGAGAGAAGAGGCCGGACACTGAAACTGTAGGAAACGAACATCTAAGAATCATCCCAGAAGTAGCACATGTCTGTAATCCTATAATCCCAGCACTCAAGAGGCTGAGGCAGGAGGATTGTCATGAGGTTGAAGCCAGTCGAGACTACGTAGTGAAATACTGTCTCAAAAAACAACAACCAAACCAAAGCAGCAGAGGAATCTTCACAGGAAAAGAAACAAGACAGAGAATGAATATTTACGGTAGGAATGCCAGGACAGACTACTCAATAAGTACATAACAATCGTATGAAAAAATACAAGTTAAAAGAGAGAAAGCAAGTATAATGCTCATGACTGCTTCATCAAGATCACATACAAAAAATTGCTTTCCAAAGAAAATAACTGGTATTTCACTCCTTGAACAGAATTTTATGGGCAATTCTAAATACATTCCCTGAGAATGACTAAATAATTCAATAAATCTTTCTAAAACTTAACTATCCTTAGACTCAGAAAAAATCTATTTTAGAGACATAGAGCTCATACAGTTAAAAAGTTGTCTTTAGACGTGTCATATTAAGAATAAAGGAACTTTTTTTTTTTGTTTTGTTTTTTTCTCCGGTACCAGGAACCGAACTCACGACCTTGCGCTTGCCAGGCAGGCGCTTTGCCGCTGAGCTAAATCCCCAGCCCCAATAAAGGAACTTTTTTGACATGGTGATTTTTAAAAACATTGTCCGCTTATGCTTTTTACTGTTCCTTGATTTCTGAGGGGATGAAATTTTTTTTTTTTTTGTTTTTCTCCGGTACCGGGAACTGAACTCACGACTTTGCACTTGCCAGGCAGGCACTTTGCCGCTGAGCTAAATCCCCAGCCCCGAGGGGATGAAATTTTAAGCTCTCATTTCTTTATAATCTCTTTTTTTTTTGGTACTGGGAATTGAACTCAGGACCTTGTGCTTGCCAGGTAGCACTTGTGCACTGAGCTATATCCCCAGTCCTTTCGTTTCTTAACTAAAACATTTCTATAAATAAAGTACTTGTCAGAAATGACAAAGATTATATATCTAAACACCTGTTTTCATAACAAACACCACCCAAGCTAGATTTCTTTTTTTTTTTTTTAATGTATATTTTACCTTTTAGAAACCTCCATTTAGCATGGAAATTAGTGAGAATACAAACAGTGGATAAATTATGATTGCATTTCATATCCTAATGGGGCAAGTCCCTGGTCCAGAAGCATGAGCAATTTCTTTAAGAACTATAGTAATTTTGCTTGTCTATATTTTTTGCCCAATTAATGATTTTCAACAGCATTTCCTCCTCTTCACAAGAAATAATTTCTTCTACTACTATGAGACTCGGAGGTGGTGCGGCGTGAAGCCCCAACTCCTTCCACTGTGCTTTGTCCACAAACTCAAGTGCAGGATGACCTTTGGTCCTAAGCCATCCACTATTTCTGTTCCACTGAGGGACGCATAAGCATTCTTGAACTCTTCTACGGTTCTGTATCTTACAAACAAGTAGGGCTTGTTAGGTGGCATTAAGGGAGCTTCCACAAGTCCACATTTCTCTGAAATCAGGGGCAGTTGCTTCCTACTCATGCCATGACTCAAACCGCCATTGGCAACACCAGGTTCTGAGTGCCATAGGATACTGCCTCAATACCTTCATGTCTCAGCAAAGTACACCTGGCTTTAATTTGTTTCCTTAAGAACTTCTCAGTTTTATTGAGTTTGAAATTACTTTGATAGTTGATCTCCATAGCAATACCCAGTGCCTCTATCAATGCTATGAAACAGTATACCACAATGCTCAGGAGTCCAAGCTCAGGTTCATAACGGTAGAGCTGGTAGCTGTACGGTCCTGGTTGAGTTAATTATGTATCTCTGGGCTTCAGCTTCTGCATGCAGCTGTGTTGGTGACCCCAAGCTAGAGTTCTATACCCATTTCCTGTCCAAAGCCATTCTTTGTCTTATGTTGCCAACTAATCTCAAATCTGTTAGTCCGTGAATAGCCTATTAGATATGGCTTTAGGTTTTGATTTCAAACGCTTTCCCAAGAACGTTCAGTTCATTCTTTTTATTTTATTTATTAATTTTTTTGGTTTTTCTGAGACAGGGTCTCACTATGTAGTTCAGGCTGGGCTTGAACTCACTTTGCCTCGAATTCTCAGCTTCCTCCTGCCTCAGCCTCCTGAGTACTGGGATTACAGGTGTGTGCCATCACGCTCAGCTCAGAACATTCATTCTTAAAAGGGAGAAGGGGAGGAAGAAGTACAGAAAATTAGCAAAAATGGTTCTAACTGCTGGCCATGGTGCTGCACGTCTGTAATCCCAGTTATTATACTTGGGAGGCTGAGACAGAAAGACTGCGAGTTTAAAGCCAGAGTGGGTAACTTAGTGAGACCCTGTCTCAAAATGTAAAAACAAGAGAATACAAAAAAGGGCTGGGGCACAGTGTTTGCCTAGCACTGCCTGGATGTGAGTGCTAAGCCCCTAAACTCCCATCTTTTAGATTTTAGCGATAAAAAGAACAAGCATACTTTCTTACCTTTGGGAGGACTCCTGGAGGAGGCTTTTGTTGTCCCTCTGTCGTACATTTTTCTGTTTTTGGAGACAAAGAAGAACATATTTCAAAGTCTGTGTGTCCCAAATCCTGCAAGTACTGATAAAGCGGAGAATTCTGAAAGAGACATGTAAAATAAAGTAAAATTCAAGATCATTATTGTCTTCAAAGTTTTGGAACCAAAGTTCACTATCAGGACTCATATGCCTAAATTCCATAAAGCTTGTTTTATGAAGACTCAACGATCTGTTACAACACAGTGCCATTCAATACTGATAAATCCATATTCAACAGAGGGACCCAAAAAAGGGAAAACGCTAAATAAAACACACTGAATTTTTGAGTGAGTACCAGCAAGCAAAAATGAACTGAGGCATAAAAATAGATTTGGTAAGCAATTTCTTTGCCCACATTTTTGTAGTCTTAAAAGTAGAAGCTTCAGAATAGCCAGTGCTGGCTATGGATATTTCCTAAGAAGAGCTGCAGTAAAAAAGTTATTAGTTGAAGCCAAGAAAAATGCAACAATAATGGTCATATTGTATTAGTTCCAATTTTATCATACCATTAAATTCATTAATTCATTTAGCACAAATATGTGTTATCTATCATATTCTTGGCACTACAAATAAACTTAAAACTTTCCAAGGAAGTTACCTTAGATTAATTATAAGTCACATATGGAATATGGCCAATGAGAAGCAGTACAGCTAATAAAAGAATTAGAACACAGTGATTAGATAGTGTTTGCATGGTTTCTCTTAAATGTTAAACCCAAAGTATAAACAAATTAAAGAGCAAAGTAAAAGAAAGAAAACAGGAAATGGAGACAGATCTTTTGCAAAAGGGAAGGAGATCAAGAGATGAAGTGAAGGGGTGTAAAAAGAAATAACAAGTGTAATGCATGTACCAACTCCCCACAAAGAATATAATCATTATGTACCGCAAACATGTACTAATAAAAAGTATAAAAGAACACAGTGCTTAAGAACACACATTCAATAAGCAAATTCTAAGTTCAAATCCCAACTGTACTTCTTCTAAGCTAAGTGACCCATGGCAGTTTAGAATCCTTGTTTCAGCTGTCTCACATAAAAATAGGAGTGATAATATTTAGCTCAAACTAAATTAATATAAAGATTTAGAAATGTCTGCCACATAGTGAGCACTCAATGTACACTTCAACTTTGTATAGGTTATGTGGGAAAAGCAGACTTTAAAACACACTGAAAAGGAGTAACTTCAGTTCCATCACACAGAAACACTGCTGTCACTACTGGATGAAAACCTACTGGAAAACCCTTCAAGGACTGATACAGCAAGCTTTAATTATAACCTCCAACCTTCCCTATGGCACAAAGCTGGTGACTGTTTATAATAAACCAGGGGCCAGGCACAGAGCTCAGAGGCAGAGTGCTTGCCTGCCATGCACAAGGCCCGGCACTGCCAAAAGATCAATCTTGTGTCCACTCGACAGACTCTCCAGATCTTCAAGAGGACTGAATGTGAGATGTTAGAGCTGTCACAGCAACAGTAGCGACCCAGGTGTCTGCCTAAATTGAGCCACAGAGTGGCTGACTCTCCGTAAGCTTACTCGCGGACAGCAAGGGGGTTACACTGACATGTGGTGGTGCCCTGAGGGCAGCTGTAAGGGGAAGTGCGGGTCCCCCTCACTCCAGTACTGCAGACTGAACCTAGGGCCTTCATGCTGAGCTATATTCAACCCCAGGCTGTTCAATTTTGAACTCCTGAGACAGACCCCGTATGGTTTGCACCTGGATGTCCCCCAAAAGCCTCCTGTCTCTTAGGTGACGCTTCTGGAAGCCTCATCCTACTTATCTTTGAGGACAGGTGGCCAGAGCTTCCCAGACGAAACAGTCCATCTCAGAGGTTTGCAGAGAGACTCACAGTCGCTACCTTCATTATAATCCCTCAGCACCGTGAGGTCGACTGGTGCCATACAAATGAAGCAAAAGGATCATAAAAGGAGCAAAAAGCTGCGCCCAAATCCTAGAAAGTCTCCGCTTCCTTCGTGCCAGAAAAGACTTGCACATTCCTCCTCTTTATTAGCCTAATCCTAAACCTCCCCTTCATTCCTTTTAGATCTGTAACCTCCCAGCCCCCAAGGGATAGAGCAGCTGATTTTCCAGGTTATCTCCCCCTTGTTCCTATTCTTGGCCAAGAATAAAAGTCTCTTTTTCTTATCAATCTGCACTTGGTCTTGTTACTGGTTCAGTTCTGAGATGGAAAAAGGACCCAGTTTGGGATAAGAAATTGGTAACAGACTGACTAATAAATCTAACTCCAAAGCCAACGTTCTGAAATATTACACTAAACTAGAAATAAGCGACAGTCCCTCATTGTCTAGTGAAGACATCAAAGACACTTACTTAAGAGTTCACCACAAAGCAAGCAAACAACAATAACAGGAATGTGCTGGATGCTACAGAAACAGAGGCAGCTAAATCAGGGCCATATTTTTAGGGAGTATGTTCTTAAATTAGGAGGAGGAAGCAACAGTGGGAATTTGCTGGATTGGCAGCAATCTGCCAGACTTCAATTTGAGAGGGGAGGAATACAGATCAAATGATTTCCTTTTAAGCTATATTTAAACTCTCTCTTAAGAAAAATACCTTCCTATTATGATGAGGAGGAATACATTTTTTATCACTCAGACTAAAAACCTCTGCTGGCACCAATGCCTCGTCCTCTGTTGCCGATAACGCATACTCCACTGCTGTCCTGACTGCCTCAGCCTAGACTTTCAAGTTGATCTGTGACCCCCTACCCGGCTCTGCCGCGGGGGGCACCAGAGCACCAACACCACTCCAGGTGCTGCACTGACCTCTGGGAAAGTTTGTACTTTTTAAAAAAAGACTTGTTTTTAAGGCAGTAGGAGGCTTTCTCCCTGTGCACTCCTGTGGGGAAGAAAAATAAGTAAGATGGATCAAAGTGGAGTTACTCTGTGTCAGAGCCAGCAAACTCGCTCTGTGAAGGGCCAGAGAGTAAACAGTTTGGCGTGGCAGGTCATCTGCTCGCTGCCCTGACAATCGCATTTGCTGCTCTGGTGTGAAGGCAGAGACCTAAATAAATCAACGAGTGTGCTTATGTGCCGATAAAATTTTATTTATACACAACGAAAATGGAACTGAATAAAAAGTATCCTTATGCTTCTATATCCCCAGCATTAGAAACGTAGAGGACTACGGATACAGCTTAGTGATGAAGTCTTTGTTCAGTACTCAGAAGGCTGGGTCTGATCCCCAGCACTCAAAAGCAAAACAAAACGTAACAAAGTAACGTTACGTTTTATGACTGCTCAGCAGTCATAAAAAATGCAGGGGGGTGGGATCTGGCACCCAGAGCCTCCTAATTAAAGATTTAGGGGAAGCTGGGTGTGACCAACATACCTGAAATCCCAGCACTCCGGAGACTGAGGCAGGAGGGGGCCAGCCTGGGCTACATAGTGAGATCCTGTCTCAAGAAAGCAAAGCTGCAGTGGAGATCAGGAGGCGCACCCCTGGACTTTGCTCTGAGAGGAGGCTTGGAGGGTGGAGGCATCTTCCACCTTTCCTTTTCTCCTGTGTGGTTCTGGGGATTGAACCCAGCACCTTCGCACTGAGCCACATCCCCAGTCCTTTTTCATTTTGAGAAAGGGACTCAGTTGTTAGATTGCCCAGGCTAGGCTCAAATTTGTGATCCTCCTGCCGCAACTTTCCAGAAAGCTGGGATTACAGGTTCACACTAAACTTCTTTATTTATTAGTTTCACTCACTATGTAGCATAGGCTGGGCTTCAACTTGCAGCAATTCTCCTGCCTCAGCCTAAGTGCTAGGACTATAGGTATGCGACATCAGAAATTAAAACGCAAAAAAATGAAATATTTATTTAAAAAATAACAATAAACTCATTACAGTGTTTTTTTTCTTTTTCTTTTTCTTTTTTTTTTGGTACTGCAAGTCAAATGAAGAACCTTGTGCTTACCAGGCAGGCACTGTGCCACTGAGCTATATATATCCCTGGCCCTACTACTTACAATGTTAATGTAAGTAACATTTGAATTTTTTTGTTTTGTTTTGTTTTTGTTTTTTTATTTTTTTACTTTAAAAAATAAAAGAAGGAAAACGTATTTTGTTTTGTTTTTGAGATGAAGTTTCAATATGTAGTCCGGGCTGCCTTAAACTTGTTTATGTAGCCCAGGCTGGCCTCAAACTCCAGCAATCCTCCTGCCTCAGCCTCCCAAGTGGTGGGATTACAGCTGTGTGCCACCATGCCTGGCAAAAACATTTTTAATGAAAAAAATTTTCCAAATGAAAAATAGTGTACTAAAAAAAAAGAAAAGAAAAACAGTGTACTGAAGCCATGTGTTTGTAATCCCAGCATTCAGAAAGCTGAGGCAGGAGGATCACCACAAATTCGAGGCCAGCCTGGATTCCATAGTGAGTTCAAGGTGAGCCTAAACTACAGAGGGAGACTCTGTGTCATAAAAGGAAAAAAGAAGAAAGAAAGACAGACAGACAGACAGACACAGGCTTATTGAGAAGAGTAGACTTACATTTTTCCAATTCTCCTTGCTGTCCAACTCTATAGAAGACACAGTAGCTGTAATTTTATATCTTAGATGGTTGGGATCTTAAGTGCCGCTCCCACCCCCAAAGGCTCACTTGCTGAAGGGCTGGTCTAGTCTCCATCGCTCCAGGGAGCTAGTAGAAGCTTTGGGAGGCGGGGCCTATGGGAGGCAGTCAGGTGAAGGGGCATCCTTGGAGGGGTGCTGGGACCTCGGCCCTTCTCTCACCTTGTAGAAAGCTACCAAAGAGAGGTGAGCTCAACTTCACCATACCCAGCAACTCTGCAGACTGACCACAGACCCAAGCAGCAAAGCCACGCAGCCGCGCCCTAACTAAGCCAGAATAAACCCTTCCTCATAAATTCGCGTGTTCTGTCGCAGTGGCAGAAAGCGAACTAAAAGCTTCTTCATTTAATGTGTTGTACTTTTGTTTTGTTTTAAAATTTATTGGGTAAAAGTTACAAATAAAGTCAACTTTTAAACAGATATGCTCTTGGAAATTGGGAGTATTTTAATAGTCTTTTCAGCTAGTTAGACAATCAATGAAGACTAC